GGGGGAGACAGGGGGTGACAATACCATATCTCGGCCCTGGTGGCGCTAGAGATCCAAACCACTTGCAATCGACTCCCCGCCCACTAATTAGTATATGGCGGAGTTTCAGCTCTCTAGGACCAATAATAAGGGGGGTGACAATACCAAATCTAGACACCTGGTGGCGCTAGAGATCCAAAACCACTTGCAATCGACTCCCCGCCCCTAATTAGTATATGGGCGGAGTTTCAGCTCTATAGGACCTATAGAACTCGAGATATGGGGGGGGGTGACAAAACTTAGGGGGTGACAACTTCGCATTTATCCTATAACTCTTACCCTCTTACCCTCTTACCCCTCTTACCCTCTACCCCTCTTACCTCTTACCCTCTTACCCCTCTTACCCTCTTACCCCTCTTACCCTCTTACCCCTCTTACCCCTCTTACCCCTCTTACCCCTCTTACCTTTACCCTCTTACCCCTCTTACCCCTCTTACCCCTCTTACCCTCTTACCCCTCTTACCCCTCTTACCTCCGCCTCTTACCCCTCTTACCCCTCTTAAAAAAATTTAAAAAATAAAGAACTTTTAAAATAAATTTATTTTATTTTTCTGAATACAAATTATTAAACTCTTTACAATAAAACAAAAATGCATGAAAAATCAATCAACAGTATAAATAAAAGCAAAAACAAAATAAAAAAGACAAAAAAACAAAAATAAAATAATTAAAATACATTAAGTCAATCAACAGCAAAAATTAAACATTAAAATAAAAAATTAAAATAAAAAAATGTTTTAAAAGAAAAAATAAATAAAAAAAATAAATAAAAAACACATTAAGTCAACCAACACCATAAATAAAAATAAGAAATAAAAAAAAAAATTTTAAAATTAAAAAAAAAAATTAAACAATACATCAAGTCAATAAACAGCATAGACAAAAAGAAGATAAAAATTAAAAATAAAATAAAAAGTTAATAAATTAAAAAATAAAAAAATACATTAAATGTCAAACAGCAAAAATAAATAATAAGACACATTAAGTCAATCAACAGCATAAATACAACACATTCACATCTAATTCACATCTATACATAAGGGTAAAAAATAAAATGAGCATCAAGTTACAAGTAAACTTACAAAGGAAATACAAATATACAAAAGGAAAGAGATATACAACAGTACTAGAAGAAATAAAAAAAAATTGAAAACCATATTAAAAAGAGGCAGCGGATGATTAGCAGCTTGATGATGTGGAGCTGGAGAGAGCTGTGACCAAGGCAGGTGCTGACAGAGGGAATCATCACAGTGGAGATAATGGACGGAATAGTGAGGCAGAACATGGCAGGAAGCCCCAACAAGGTCACCAGGATGTAGGGCCATAGCACAGTTGATAAAAGGATAGGTGGACCTTTGGTAAATGGGCCAGGCAGAACCCGGGGGACAACAAAAAGAGATGGAGCCATTAGAGATGAGGATCTATGCAGAGCTAACCCAAGGCAAGACCACTGCACTGCAGGACAGAGGCAGAACCAGAGGGGTTAAAGGAATAAGGCAAGACCCCCAATACAGCTTGAGAGATAACTGCCCATGGTGGAACGGGTAGGTCGACAGAGTGAAAGTTAAGTCTGGGGCTTGGCACAAAGACAGAGGATCAACACCTAGGCAGAGATGGTAATCTGGAATACAAAGGTGGACCCAAGGTGCAATGAAGGATGAGGCAAAAGGCTGCAAGAAGCCAGCGGACACAGGCCCCATTAACTAGATAACATGGGTAGAGGAGGCGGGAGGAGCATCAATGAGAGGCTTCATGCTGAGTGAGAAGGACATCAGACTGGACTGTTTAAACAGCTGGAGGGACCGGCCAACACAGGATAATGGGTTACAAAAAAAGATAACCAGACAAGTACTTTTTACTTTTTTAAGTACTAAGTACTTTTTTACAACTTGCTCACAAAGCTTTACAATATAAGAAGGGGCAAACAATGGCATAAAAGGTAACAGATAAAGTAAGAAACAAGTTAAAAGGTATTTATTAACAATAAAAACAATAATTTAAAAATAAAGAACACAATTCAACCCAGAACAAAATTCAAACAGGCTGAATGAAATAGCAGCATTGGGTACAAATAAAAATGAGCACAAGAACATAGAGATGAATCAAAGCAGAAAAAGGGCGTATAAGACAGCCACTAATGCTAACATACAGAAGACAGTCAGAATATAAACAGGTACATACATTTACAAAATACACACAGTAAAGGCAAACCTTTTATAAAGTACATTTAAATACAAAATAAAACTGTTTCAGAAAAATAGGAATGGGCATAAAACAGCACAATGGCTTGTAAAGACAAGAGCAGTGATCAATACAAATGCAAAGATGGGAAAAATGCACAAATACAAAAAGGGCCATTGAGACCACGATAAGGACATAAGTGCAGAGACAAAACTAAAGGAGCATTAAGGCATAAAGGGTATTACAAATTTAATCAAACACCACAAGGAACAAATATGTAAAAATCATCACTAAAACAGGGCACAAAAAAGGGACTTAACTGGCAGAGGCATAAAAGGCAAACAGCAGAAATACAAACACTAAAGGGGAATAGGAACGCAAAGGAAGAATAATCTGAGAGACATGCAGCTTTTACACTTGAGAACTTTATTTTGTTCTGTCTTGGAATAGGTTAGACAAGACCATAAAGGGCACAGAACAAAAAGTTTAAATAGAAGTTAATAAATAAAATACTGTACAAAAGCGAAAAAAAATCCTTTAAAAAAACCTGAAATGAACTGAAAAAAACCCAAATTGAAACAAGGTTAAACAATACAAAGTAGCAAAAAGTCAAGTGGACAAAGCTGCTTTTAAATAAAAAGCATTAAAGCGGTTAAGCATGGCAGAGCAAAAAATTGTCAATTGAATTTCATGTGTGACATTAATACAAGTCAATCAACAGCATAAATACAAAATCATGCTCCTTTTTTGACACTTTTGTATAGATGTTAATGATGTTAAAACAAAGTAAACTTAAACAGGAATACAAAACTGTACAAAGTGAAACCACAAAAAAAGTTGAAAGTATTATGAACAAAGAGGCAAAGGAGGATGTAGAGCCGAAACACAATCGATAAAAGGATAGGGGGACCTTTGGTGAATGAGCCAGTTACAACTCGGTGGACAACCAACTCAGATGGAGCCATTAGAGATGGGGACCTGGGCAGAGACAAGACCACTGCAGGTCAGTAAATGCCCATGGAGGACCTGATAGGTCGACAGAGTGAAAGTTAAATCAGGGGCTTGGCACAAAGACAGAGCATCAACCTATGGCGGAGCTGGTAATCTGAGGCCAAAGGCGGACTCAAGGTGTAAAGGGTAAAATGAAGGATGAACCAAAGGGCTGAAAGTAGATAACAAACACAGGCCGCATTAACTAGATGACACGGGTAGAGGAGGGGGGAGGAGCAGCATCAATGAGAGGCTGAGTGTGAAGGACATCAGACTGGATTGTCTAAACAGCTGGAGGGACCGGCCAACACAGGATAATGGGAACACAAAATAAACCAAAACAGATTATAAACCTCACAAAAACTTCAAGTAATTTTAAAAATGCAAATAAAGGTTAGGATTCACAAATGGGGTGTTTCAAATTACACAAAGTTGCATATGGGCACAAATAAAATCATACAAGAGTAGAAACAAAGGTTAACAAAAGGCTTTAAAAAAAACAGAACAAGGAAACAAACAAAATCAAGTGTAACAAAATACAACAAAGTAAGTTTACAACTTCAATACAAAGCTTTACAATATAAGAAAGGCAAAA